CAGAAGGATGGGACAAATCATTAAACCTGAGGTTATTAAACCTCCCGAAGCCCAGTACGGGACAAAGATGTGGCAGTCTGCTTCCGTAAAGATTATAGCCTAGGAAACCCTATGGGACAGTCTACTTTGTCCTATAGGGTCGCTATAAGTCGGAATTGACTTGATGGCAACAGGTAAGCCTTAGTATCCCCATCTGTGAAATGGGGGTGATGAATTAAAAACCGTACCTGCCTCAAAGGATTGTGTGAAAATTAAGTAAGATACTGCATTCGACGTAGAGCTTGGCCCATAGCAAGTTCTCAGTACATGTTGGCTGTTTCCATCAGTAATAACAACCCAAAGGGCAAAGGTCACCCATAACTTCTATCTGCTGTCTTTCCCTCTGCTTTCTCCCATTCCTTGCTCCACAAGTACAGAATCCATCTATTCCAATAGCCCTTTCTTTCTCCATGAAACCTTTCTTGGTCTCTCTTCTAAACTCTCACAGCACTTTACCTGGCCTTTTCTCTCATGAATATAACAAACACAGCACTTACTATGTGCCGAGTACTGTACTTTTAAAATAGTAACTCACTTATTGCTCACAACTCCATAGGGGAGGTATTACTATCATTCCCATTTGACAAGTGAGAAAACTGGGGCAGAGAGTCAAGTTTTAAAAAGTGAATCAGTTTAAAGAAAATCATAAATAATATGCAGGTGGTACACAGACTTCAGACACTAAGTTGGTAATGGAATGACTGGTGTTTGGAAAATATCAATTTAGAGATCCCAATTTGTCACATTTACCAGTTGTAAGGCCGTCATGGGGTTTTAACTATGTTTGATGAGCTTGCTTTAAAGTATCACGCTCTCCACTGAGCACTTCATTTATCAACTGACTGAAACTACATTAATAATTTATTCAATTTAATGAAGAAGCCAGAGGCTCTACTAGAGGCCTAAATAGGTAAGAGGTCCTTTCACAGAGATGGTAGAGACACTGTTGTTAGGTGCTGTCAAGTCGGTTCTGACTCACAGTGACCCTATGTACAACAAAACGAAACACTGCCCAGTCCTGCATCACCCTCACAATCGTTGCTATGTTTGAGCCCCCTGTTGTAGCCACTGTGTCAATCCATCTCGTTGAGGGTCTTCCTCTTTTCCAATGACCCTCTACGTTACCAAGCATGATATCCTTCTCCAGGGACTAGTCTCTCCTGATAACATGTACGTGAGACAAAGTCTTGCCATCCTTGCTTTCAAGGAGCACTTTGGCTGTACTTCTTCCAAGACAGATTTGTTCATTCTTTTGGCGGTCCATGGTATATTCAATATTCTTTGCCAACACCATAATTCAGAGACATCAGTTCTTCTTCAGTCTTCCTTATTCATTGTTCAGCTTTCCCATGCATATGAGGAAATTGAAAATACCATGGCTTGGGTCCGGTGCACCTTAGTCCTCAGAGTAGCATGTTTGCTTTTTAACACTTTAAAGAGGTCTTTTGCAACAGATTTGCCCAATGCATTCGTAGAAATTCATTGATTCCGACTCATGGTGACCCCGTGTCCCAGTGTAGAACTGCTGCATAGAGTTTTATTGGCTGTAATCTTTATAAAAGCAGATCGCCAGGCCTTTCTTCTGTCGTGCTGCTGGGAGGCTTCCAACCACCACTACTTAGGTAAGCAGTCTAGCGCAAACTGCAGGCTGCTTGTGTCACCCAGGGATTTCTAATCCACACCAGGTGAATTAAAAAAAATCAGTAGCAAATATGGCAATATCTAGCTCCCCACCTGGGTTATTTCTTTTTAGGTCGGGGCGACAAATAAGAAGACAAAGTGTAGCCTTCCCAAGCATTCAACTCAGAAGCCATAGCGGGAATTTTCCCCCTCCTTAAGGAGTGGAGGGACCCGGCAGGACGATCCCGAAAAGGCGGGAAGCCCGCGGCTCTCCAGGCCCGGCCCCCCTTCCTCTCCGGCAGAGACCAAGCCCCCGATAAGCCCCTCCCACCTCCGCAGGCCCCGCCCCCTCTTCTTCTGGGCCCGACACGCGACTGCAGCGCGCACTGAAGATGGCGGCGGCTGCTGGAAAGTTACTCCGGGCCTCGGTGAGTGGCTGCCGGCTGGGTACAAGCGCGGAGACACCGCGATGGCTTTGGGGACGTGCATTCCAGGCGGGACCCCGCCCTTCTGCAGCCTGGGGGACATTCGCCCTTCTTGGAGGGGTCAGCGGGTAACGGACCCGGAGGCCTACTGGGGAAGGCTTCCTGCGCCTGCGCAGAGCCGGTCTGCCCGCATACCGCAATCCCTCCTCGCGATCTGTTCCCCAGTCTCTCCTTGGTCGGAGTCGCTGATCGCCAGTCCTCTCTCCGCCTAAGCACTGGTCCTGGAGGCAGGCGTCCTAGCTCCTGGTCCCAGTTCTGTAGCTGACTGTGACCTTGGACAAGTGACTTCGGCTTTCTGAACCTCAGTTTACTTGCCTCATCTGTAAAATGGAGAGAATGATGCCTACATTATGGGGTTGTTGTGAGCATCCACATAAATGGGTGCAAGCGTGCAAAGTGCTAAAGTAACAAAAGGCACTGTTATCCTCCACCCCCCAGGTCGGCCTCAGCTGTTGTTTCTCTGCTTTTCTGGGGCAAAGCCTGAAGCCCTTCTGCTCCCCCGCCCCCTTTCATGATAGGATTCAGCGCAGGCACCTTCTCCTTCCTGAGTCATGCTGGATATTACGGTTGAGCAAACATTTCACTTGAGCCTTGTCCAGACTTTTCCAAAGGCTGAACTTTGCTCTATTTGCTTGTGTGTGGGGCTAGAAGGGCCTTGCCTTTTCTAAGAAAAGCTGAGATGGTAGAACATGCTCAGCCGATAGTGCTAGTTAAGGGGTTAAATAAATACACAGGGCCTGCTAAGCCCCTCTGGTTTTTGAATTCTGTGTTGTTTTTGAGAGCGTGGAGTTTTTGATTCTTGAGTCCTTATGTTCTTGTATTCCCCCTCTGCCATGCATTCTTGAAGGAGAAGGAAGCCAGAGAGAATAGTAAGAACACGGAGACTCAGTTGATACTCGGCGTATTGAGTTGGGTATTTTGTTCACAGGGACAAGGACAGCTGAGGCCACCATAGGCGGAGTGGGCCTTCAGCTGCCATTCCAGAAACATTTCATAATATAAAGTGGTTCTCTTCCCAGGTTGCCTGCCATATGAGTGCCATTCCTTGGGGCGTTTCTGCCTCTGCAGCCCTTAGGCCTGCTGCTTCTGGAAGAAAGTGCTTGACAAATGCGTTGTGGTCTGGTTCTCATCCAGCAAAACGTGCCTTCAGTACCAGTAAGTGTTATCATGACTTGGTTGGACCCAGGTCAAGGAAACATGAATCATCTCTGGACCAAGGGCTCTGAACCCTGGCTACGCATTACATCCACATGGGGATCTTTTAAAATACATCAGCTTTCCAGTCCCACCTCAGACAGATCAGTCTCTGGGGGTTAGACCAGGACATGCGTTTTTTTAAAAAGTTCCCTGGGTGATTCTAACGCGCAGTGTACTTATCTGTCACGTTTCCTTGTTGGTTCCCAGAGTTTTTTTAGTCCTCTGTGTATGAAGGGGAGCCCTGGTGTCGCAGTGGTTAAGAGCTCAGCTGTTAACTAACCAAAAGGTGGGCTCCTTGGAAGCCCTATGGGGCAGTTCTGCTCTGTCCTGTAGGGTCGCTATGAGTTAAAATCGACTCACCAGCGGTGGGTTTGGTTTGGTTTGGTTTGGTTTGTATGAAGGAGTCCTCGTGGTGCAGTAGCTAAGTGCTTGGCTGCTAACTGAAAGGTTGGTGATTCAAACCTACCCGGAGGCTCCACGGGAGAAAAGACCTGGCAGTCTGCTCCTGTAAAGATTACAGCCTAGAAACCCCTATGGGGCGGTTCTACTCTGTCACATGGGGTTGGTCGCTATGAGTCAAAATCGACTGAACAGCTCCTATCAACAACAATGTGTTGAGGGACCTGAGAGGAAAAACTCAGATGCCCTTTGGGCCTGACGAATGTGAAGGGGTATCCGATAACTGGGTGTGGTGCGCGGCCAGGGGAACCGAGAGCAGCTCCTCTAGAGAGGGTCAGTCACAGTCAACCCTGTCTGCTGGCTGCAGTTGGCCTTTGGAATCAGACCATTCCAGTGGAATCCGCCTTGTTGTGAGAGGAACATAGCTGTTTCTTGAGATTTACAGTGCATTCTGTAGGATCTGGGCTTTGCTAAGATCAGCCTCAGATAATGAGTAGTATTTGAAAATACCTCCTTTAGATTTTTCCTGCCTTGGAAAAAGCATGTATTTAAAATATAATAGTTTAGGGAATGTACTTTAGCAAAGCCTTTGTTTATGGGTGCTAAAAATGTTCCCAGTTTTACAACTCGAGCTTTAAAGGATTTCTAGTCATGATGTGATCCCACAGGTTTAAAACCCCTGCCCAACAGCTACTCCTGTTCTATTCAGGGAGCCCCACACTGAAGCCTAGGCACTCTTGACTCTTGGTCTCCTTTGTCCCCCATTCGCAGGCAGACACAAGTTCTCTCCAGTTTGAGCGCATCTCTTGCATCCATCCCTTTCTTTCATCTTCCTTTGCCATACCCCTCCCCTCAATACCCGTCACACAGATAACTGAAATCACCTCCTCACGTCAGTCTCTCCTCCTCCTGGTCCTCTTACCTGTTTGCCAGACTAATCTTCTTCCTAAACACAGCTGTCTCATCTTGGGTCTCCAGTGACTCGCTTCTGTCTCCTTTAGTGACCTTCACAGCTTGCCCTTCAACCCTTCTTGCTTGTTTTGTCTCCCACTGATGTGCCTTCCCCACACGTGCGCTCTATGCTCTGATCAGACTCTGTTATGGTCCATTGCTTCCAACATGCCCTGTTCCTTTCTCCCTTCATGCCATTTCCCCCATCCTTCTGGACTTTGCAAATCTGCCCCACATTTAGACTATATCCCCAGTCTCACGTCTTCCTTAATTCCATCTCTACTGTGTTCTACCTTGCTCTTTTTAGCTTCCATAGTACTTTGAATTGAATTTGTGTACATTCTAGAACTATGGAAGGAAAAAAATTACTATTTGAAGATGTGCAGTTGAGCTGAACCTTTTAATTGATTTGTGGTGGTGTTGTGTGTTGTTAATTCTGATTCATAGCAACCCTGTAGGTCAGAGTAGAACTGCCCCATAGGGTTTCCTAGGCTGTAATCTTTATGGGAGCAGATTGCCAGGTCTTTTCGCCCACGGAGCTACTGGGTGGGTTCAAACCGCAGATCATTTGGTTAGCAGCCAAGCAATTAACCATTGCATTACCAGGGCTCCTTAAATTGATAAACATGTTGTTGTTGTTAGGTGCCTTCAAGTCAGTTCCTACTCAGAGTGACCCCAAGTACAACAGAACAAAACACTGCCCGGTCCTGTGCCATCCTCACAATCATTGCTGTGTTTGAGCCGATTGTTGCTGCTGCTGTGTCAGTCCATCTCGTTTAGGGTCATCCTCTTTTTCACTGACCCTCTACTTTAGCAAACAAGATGTCCTTCTCCAAGGACAGGTCCCTCCTGATAACATGTCCACAGTACATGAGACAAAGCTATCCTCACTTCTGAGGAGCATTCTGGCTGTACTTCTTCCGAGACAGATTTGTTCATTCTTCTGGCAGTCCATGAAATATTCAGTATTCTTCACCAACACCATAATTCAAAGGCATCGGTTCTTCAAATCTGTCTTGGAAGAAGTATAGCCAGAATGCTCCTTAGAAGCGAGGATAGCAAGACTTCGTTTCTTGTACTTTGAATGTGTCTTGGTGTCTTAGTTATCTAGTGCTGCTATAACAGAAATAACACAAATGAGTGCCTTTAACAAAGAGAAATTTATTCTCTCACAGTCTAGGAGGGTACAAGTATGAATTCAGGGTGCCAGCTCCAGGGGAAGCCTCTCGGTCTCTCTGTTGGCCCTGGGGGAGGGTCCTTGTCATCAGTCTTCCCCTGCTCTAGGAGCTTCTCAGCACAGGGACTCCGGGTGCAAAGGATGCATGCTCCTGGCTATACTTTCTTGGTGGTATGAAGTCCCCATGTCTCTCTGCTCACTTCTCTCTTTTACATCTCAAAAGAGATTGATTTAAGTTACAACCTAACCTTGTAGATTGAATCGTCATTAACATAACTGCCGCTAATCCCACCTCATTAACATCATAGAGGTAGGATTTACAACCCGTAGGAAAATCACATCAGATGACAAAATGGTGGACAGTCATACAGTACTGGGGATCAGGGCCCAGCCAAGTTGACACGCATTTCGGGGGAACACAGTTCAATCCATGACGCTTGGTAGAGGGTCAGCAAAAGAGAGGAAGACCGTCAATGAGATGGATTGACAGTGGCTGCAACAGTGGGCTCAAATATAGCAATGATTGTGAGGATGGTGCAGGACCAGGCAGTGTTTCGTTCTGTTGTACACGGGGTCGCTATGAGGCGGGACTGGCCCGATGGCACCTGACAACAAATCCTAAATTATGCATTCTGAGTGGTTTGAGTAAAATCAGGTAGGTGCTTGATCCAGCAAATGGTGATCTGTATACATACATGGTTTTTGCAGGTTCCTCATACCTTGCTCCTGCTGTCACCCAGCATGCACCCTATTTTAAGGGCACAGCCGTTGTCCACGGAGAGTTCAAAGAACTAAGCCTGGATGACTTTAAGGGGAAATACCTGGTGCTTTTCTTCTATCCCTTGGATTTGTAAGTGTCATTTCTATCGTGCTTTAATGTCCTTCTGCGAGTGAGCAGAGATCCCTGCTTCCCTGGGAAATGGCCTGTCTCTGGTGACCCTTCATGTGAAGGGGAGCATTTGTCTGACCCGTTATCACTGACGGCCTTGTCGGATACAGCTTGCCTTGTAGCTTATTTACAAGCGATAAACTTAGGGGGTGGAGCGGCATCCCTTTTACTGATTGGGTTTGAATATGGCTGTATTTTATGTGGTTCCCCTAGACCAGCCTGTAAGAAGTTTTCACTGGTCTGGGGGAAAATGAAGAAGCCTAGTGGCTCAGTAGTTAAAGCGCTCGGCTGCTAACTGAAAAGTTAACAGATCGAACCCACCAGCTGCTTGGAGGGAGAAAGATGTAGCAGTCTGCTTCCATAAAGATTTACAGCTTAGAAACCCTATGGGGCAGTTCTGCTCTGTCCTCTAGGGTCGCTATGAGTCAAAATCGACTTGACGGCGGTGGGTTTGGGTTTTTTTGGTTGGGGAAGAAACGAGAAAAGTAACAATAATAAAATTAGTTTTTTCGACGAAGCTAAATTTGTGTAAATAGAATTTTACTTTAGTCTTAGAACATGCCCTCCCCCCCCCTCGTTTTTTGGTAAGATTTCTTAAATAAAAAGGTAATAGATAAGGATGGTTTTTCTCAGCTTAAAGCTAGAGTGTCGCTGAGACAGGGAGGCCTGTGAGGATGGTGAACGGTCTTGTCTTTTTTCACCTTTAAGTGAACTGAACTGGTTTTTAGATTACTTTTTGTTCATACCTTAAACCATAGTTTTTAATCCTCTGATGAGAATTTCTGCCCTTTTTTCCTAGCACCTTCGTGTGTCCTACGGAAATCGTTGCTTTTAGTGACAAAGCCAATGAATTTCATGATGTGAACTGTGAAGTAGTTGCTGTTTCGGTGGATTCCCACTTTAGCCATCTTGCCTGGATAAATACTCCAAGGAAGGTATAACATCGTCCACCCCGCCTTTGCACGTCTGATCTTGAAAACGGAAAAGATCCCGTGACAGACTAACGTAGAAGTTGTTAACGCAGGGCTAGTCTGTAATGGGCTATTTGTAGGTTCTTACTACTCATGACACATGCTGCTGAAGCTCCGTCTTGACGTGGCTGAGGGGGGTCAGGAGCGCACCGCCTGTGTGTCCTCCCGCCTCCACAGGCAGTGTCTCCGGCCCACGTAGCCACAGAGAGCAGATAAGGCAGGGCAGGGAGGAGCTGTGGTCCGTTGCCACCCTCTCCCCTAAACTCAGGATTCCATGTCTTCACGGACTATGGGATGGTGCTGAGGTTCTCTGGTTTCTCTGTTCTGCGTGGTCAGTATTCTTCCCTAAAAACTTGCTTGGGCGACTCAATATTTCTAGCTATGCTGCTGGACCGTCAGTATCTCATTACTCAAAGGGTTTTGGTGTTACTCTTCCATTTTTATGTTTTAGAAATTAGTCTTCAACTGAAAGGATGCTATAAGAATTGGAAAGAGAAAGGTCTGTAGTATTAGCTGGGTTCAAATCCTGCCTCTGCCACTCTCTGGCTGTGACCTGGGGCAAGTTACTTAACCTTTGTGTGCCTCAGTTTGCTCATCTGTAAAATGGAGATGATAATAGTATCTACTGCTGGATGGTTGCCAGGGTGAAATAAACCAATAAAACAAGCTTAGCACAGTGCCTGGCCCATTGTTTGGGCTGTAAGCTATTATCGTTGTTTTGAGTCTTAAATACTATTACATAGTCAAGGATGTGAAACCACATAGTGTAACAACCAGTCACGTTTGCATTTTTATTAGAACGGCGGTTTGGGCCACATGAACATCCCACTCTTGTCGGATTTAACTAAACAAATTTCCCGGGACTACGGCGTGCTGTTAGAAAACCCTGGTCTTGCACTAAGGTAAGATCCTGTTACTTATGAACTTAAAGTTGTTTTCAATGTTTTAGCATCATCCTGGTTCCTAAGGGATTTATACAGACTTCGGCAAAGCATTAAAAAAATCTTAATTTTAATCTTTGTATAAGCCCTGGTGAAATGCCTCCTCAAGCGTTGCCAGACTTTCAGAAATGGCTGATACGCGTGCCCCTCCACCACCCTGTGTCTCTGTCTCAGGGAGGACCTCTGTGTCTTGTTGGTCACGCTGTTCCCTGACCATCCCAGAGCCACTTCCTTGGGGGGATTCTCCTACCGTGAAGTCATCAGACTGTTTGGAGAAGGGGAGATGGCAGGGTAGGAGGTGGGATCCTGGAATGGCTAAGATCTCGCACAAACCCTGAATCAAACAGACCTAGGTTTGATTTTTTTAACTCTGCTGCTTAATAGCTCTGTGACTTGGGACAAGTTATTTGACCTCCATGAGCCCAGTTCTCCCATTGCTAAAACAGGGATGTACCTCACAGGTTGGTTGTGAGGATTAAATTAGGTGAGGCATCAAAACCTTTTCGCCTAGCTGTTGTTAGAACCCTGTCCCAGAATGTCATTTCTGTCCTCATTCGTTCTGTGGCTAACCCTTTATTCCACTGAGTGTGAAAAGCTTTCAGTTTTCAGCAGCCCCATATTCTAACGCAGCCTTCCTGAGAGGGCTGAGAAATTAGGCCTTAGAGCTGGCTATTCATTGACCCACGAGAGCAGGGATGAAGTGGGAGGAGAGGCCCCAACTGGCTCTGTGGGGACGGACTTCACCCCAGCTCTCCTACCCTTTCTTGGGGCTGACTGTGGCCTTCTCTTCTCTTGGGTTACACCTGGTATTTTAGTGCTGGAAGGCACTTTGGAGTTGGGGCCTTTTTGACTCCAAGGAGATTACCATCTTCCTTTAATAAGCTAAAACCTAGCTCTGACAGACTTGGCCATGGAGGGAGGAAGGAGTGCTGGCCTTTTTCCCCCTAGCGATCCCTTTCCCTGTGGGGTCTCCCTAATTTTGCAACCATGACCGTACCGGTTTCAGTATACCAGGAACGACAAGGGAGAGAGGCTGAGCCTGGTTGGTAAGATAAGGCTTCTTTCTGGAGTCAGTGGGCCCTGCCCTGGCCTAGCTCTGTGTCTGCCTCTGTGCGGTGGATTCCAGCTTGGGTTCTTGCCCCAGGAGCAGGCATCAGGACCTGTCAGGCCTCAAAGCCTGGACCCCCAAATGCTAGGCCAGGGAGGAAGAAGCTCCTTTTTACGTTGTGAATGTTCTCCAACTTGTCTTACCCTGAGTGATTAACACTTAGAATGCCCACACCCTTTTAAGATGGACCTCCTCCTTCTGGTTAAACATACTGGCATACATCACAGTAACACCAACACTTGTACAAAAGGTAAACACAGACCACTGTTATACCGGGTAGACGTCTCATTACATGGCTGCTAAGTGATGAAAAAAGGGGGGGGGTTGGTTTTTTCTTTGGAGTTCTGCTCTGCATAGACTTAGGGCCAGTACATTTTTTCTGCAAAGATTTTCCCATGGGATTTCACCCCATTCACCAAGAATGCACTCATTTAATAAATATTTGTTGAATGTAGATAAAATACAGCTCTGTCGCTTCTCATTTGCCTATAGTTCTTGCCAAGATTTGATACAGCAGCTCCAAGAATGCTTGCCAGATCACTAACAACTAAAGAAGTCTTCACTCTCTAGTTCAGTGACTTGTAGATACTTACGTGACATTCAGGGCACAATTTTTAATTTGTAAATGTGTCATATCATACTGCATGTTTTCCATGGTGGCCCGGTCCAGTCCTGCCTTTGTTAAAGCATTTGTCATTAAGAAGCGACAGTAAGCTTTGTGTCAAAAAAACCAAAAACCAAACCTGTTGAGTCAGTTCCAACTCACAGCTACCCTGTAGGAGAGAGTAGACATGCCTGCCCCTTAGGTTTCCTCGGCTGTAATCTTTATGGAAGCAGACTGCCACATCTTTCTCTCACAGAGAGGCTGGTAGGTTTGGACCTCTGACCTTTCAGTTAGCAGCCAAGCACTTAACCACCAGGGCTCCTAAGCTTTGTGTACAGCAATGAAAATGCCATTATTAAGCATATGATAGAGCTTAATAACTGCTGTATTTATTAAGTAGACTTAAAGACATAAAAGGGTACAAGTGAGTGTTCTGGTGATGTTGAGGTACTAATGAGGCTAAATTCTGATGCAGAGGACTCTTCATCATTGACCCCAATGGAGTCATCAAGCACTTGAGTGTCAATGACCTCCCAGTGGGCCGAAGCGTGGACGAGACCCTCCGCTTGGTGAAGGCATTCCAATTTGTGGAGGCCCATGGAGAAGTCTGTCCGGCAAACTGGACACCTCACTCTCCTACAGTAGGTTTCTTTTCCAGAAGCAGTGGACTTGAGGGTTCCAGGTCCTCGCTGCCTCAAGGGTTGCTGGCCTGGAATATCCCCAAAAGGAGCCCATCCAAAGCCAACCCTTGGTGTAGGGGTGTAGATAGTGTGGGAATGGGTGAAGCCACTGAGGGTGGGGGATGAGGATCAGGGACCAGGCAGGGCTGTTAGTTTGCTTCCAGAAAATGTTAATAGAACTCTTATCCATGTATTTTAAAGGAAACAGACCAATCTTTAAAAAGTTAAATAACTTTCGGTTAAAAATTGGGAGTTTTCATTTACTTTTGAGACTATTATAAAGTCAGCAGTAACCCAGTTTAATGTTTTTTCTGTTTTTAGATCAAGCCAAGCCCAACTGCTTCCAAAGAATACTTTGAGAAAATAAATCAGTAGGTCATCCCACGTGCACCTGTAGCTTCTTACACCAGAGAAGAACCACAGGTTGGAGCCCCGTGTTAGTATTTCAAAGATGATTGTTTATAGAAGGCAAAAAAAAAAGAAAATTATGCTTGTATTCATAACTATTACTCTTAATGTTTTGTTTTTGTAACATTGTCTATAAGACTTTTTAAGCTTGGCTAGTCGCTAATGTCAGGAGTCTTTTACTTGTAACATCCTGATGGCTAGTTAGAATGTCTTATTTCACCTCCTTCTTGAATCATGTCTTTGATGGGAAAAAGAAACACTCTTTCTTCACCTTCCTTGAACCCTTGAGTATACTAAAGTAGTACAACAGATATTTAAAGCTTCTAATCAAGGTCCTGAAATTGTCTTCCTGAATTTCTTTGATTAAACTGAATTTTCTTTGAAAGGTAACAAAAATCATTGTTTTAAGTTGTTAGCATCAGAGGTCTGATTTAACTCTTGCAATGGATGTATGTGTGATTGAAACAAATGGGAATCATGTTTTGAAGAAAACACTTACGGTGGCAAAGTCACTTAGCTGATCACGCATGATCCCCATCCCTGAGATCATGGTTACATCATTCTTTTACTTATTTTATTCATTGGTTGACTTAGTGTCTACAAACATTTCTAGATAATGATTGGGTGTGACTATAAAGCATATTTATTGAGTCCAGGAATTGTATTTTGAAATCACTGTAATTATTTTCTTTCTGGAAGTGCTCAATGTCAAGTATATAATAAAAAATAAACATATTTTAAAATATTTGGCATTTTTAATACAGTTATTTCAACGTATGTTGTGAGACTGTATTTTTCTTTCTCTGGTTGCATCAACAATTGAGCGTTTGACTTGGAGGCCACAAAAGTGAGTAAAATGTTGGCTCCAGACTCAAGGAACTCAGTTTAGGGGGTGAGACAGACATGGGAACATTTATTCAGTATTTCAGTGAATCCTGGCATACCACATGGGAAGCACTGTTGAAGAGGCACAAGAGTGAACCAAAAAAGACCACTCCTTACCTTCATGCACTGATGTCCTAGAGGGGAAACATAGTAAACAGTAAAAACACCTAGAATGGAGGGCTGGTTCCGTGGTCTCAGGGAACGAACATCTAGCTCAATTGGCATAACATAGTTTATAAAGAAAATGTTCTACATCCTACTTTGGTGAGGAGCATCTGGGGTTTTAAAAGCTTGTGAGCAGCAACTTAAGATACTCCACTGGTCCAATCTCATCTGGAACAAGAATGAAGAAAACCAAAGACACACGGGAAAGATTAGTCAAAAGGACTAATGGACCACAACTACCACAGCCTCCACCAGACTGAGTCCAGTACAACTAGCTGGTGCCCAGCTACCACCACCGACTGCTCTGATGGATCACAATAGAGGGTCCCAGGCAGAGCTGGAGATAAATGCAGAGCAAAATTCTAACAAAAGAAGACCAGATTTAACTGGTCTGACAGACTGGAGAAACACCAAGAGTATGACCCCCGGACATCCTTTTCTCTCAGTACTGAAGTCACTCCTGAGGTTCACCCTTCAGCCAGGCTAGGCCCATAAAACAAAACGAGACTAAATGGGCACACCAGTCCAGGGGCAAGGACAAGAAGGCAGGAGGGGACAGGAAAGCAGGTAATGGGGAACCCAAGGTCAAGAAGGGGAGAGTGTTGACATGTCCTGGGGTTGGCAACCAATGTCACGAAACAAAATGTGTATTAATTGTTTAATGAGAAATATTTGCTCTGTAAATCTTCATCTAAAGTACAATTAAAAAAACAACCTAGAATGTTTAGAAGGAAAATAAAGAGCAAGGAGCTAGACCAGAGATGTTCTAGATAGGATTGTTGGGGAAGGCCTTATGTGACAGTCAATCTCTCCAGGTCAATGTTTTCATCTGTAAAATGAGGAATACAATTGTACCTGTCTCAAGGTTTTGTTGATCAAACATGATAAAACCTAAAAAGTGAGGGGATAAGGGTTCCAGGCAGAGTGCACAGCAAGTGCAAAGGCCTTGAGGCAAGAGCTGGCTTGGGGTGGATGAGGGGATTGCAGAAAGGCCCACATGGCTGGAGGGATGAAGGAGCCAATGGTAGTAGGGGCCAGAAGAACCTTATGGGCAAGCTTAACAGCTTTGGATTCTGTTCCAAAAGATGTCAGATTTTGAGTCTGTTCTAGAATTGCTCGGCTGGATTTGTGACACACTTGAGGGTACAGCCAGCAGAATAAAAGTGTGCTGAGTACCATGGTCCAATATTCTATGCATGGGGTGTGATGGAAATGGGAGGGGCACCCCACTCAGCTGTGGCGGTCAGGGAAGGCTTCCTGGAAGAGGAGAGGAGAGGAGCTCTTGGAAGCTACAGAAAGTGAGCCAGGTGAGCATAGGGAAAATGGTCTCACGTGAGGGTGCGTAGAAGTCACATGGGCCTGAAGAAAAACCATGAGCATTTCATGTTCCTGGGATGGCAAGGCCAGGGCTGCAGAGGCATAGCGAGGGGGGTTATGGGGAGGACACTTGCCCTTGGGCACAGGTCCAAAAGGGGAGCCACACAAGGCCAGCCAGGGAATCACCCCCCCCCCCATCATGGTGGTGGTGAGAAGGCACAAACTTAGAGATTGCCCCCGGGCGCTCATAACCCTCAATAGACCGGGCTGGGCGGGGAGCGTGGATAGGCCAGCTGGGCGTGAATGGCCAATACTAAGCACTTCCCACATGTCCAGGGTTCTCTTAAGGGCTCTTACATGTTTCGTCTTGTTTGATCCTCCACAAAACCCTGAGAAAGGTACAACTGCCCTCATTTTACAGATGGGAGAATAAACCTGGAGAGAGAAGCTTGCCCAGAGTCACAGCTAAGGATGTGGTGATATTGGGCTTTCAATCCAGGCCTCTGAGGCCCCTGAGCACCCTAAACACACTTTTGGCTTCCAGGAATTCAACTGCACACATACAACCCCACCCACCCCAAGCTCAGAAGGGTGTGGGGAGGGAGAAAGGGGGCGTCTTTTTCCCCACAAATGGTCCCTGTGTGGTCTGGGACTCGAGAAGGAATTGGATTTGCCCTGAGGCTGGAGAAAGACTATGGGGCTGAGAAATGGTGCCTGTACCCAGGGTACTACCCACAGGCTTAGGATGGGGCCAGGGCTTGGTGTAATGCTCTGTTGCTGCCTTCTTGATATTTTTTTAAAAATAATATTTTATTGAGTTTTTAGTGAAAGTTTACACAGCAAGTTGGGTTCCCATTTGACAATTTCCACACAAATTGTTCAGTGACATTAGTTACATTTATCACAATGTGTCAACATTCTCTTTAATCGTGATGGTTGTTCCCTTTCCAGTACTCTAGTTTCCCAGCCCCTTATCTTGTCATCTTTGCTTTTGAGTAATTGTTGACCTTTTGGTCTCATTGTTGTTAGGTGCCCGTCCAGTCATTTCTGACTCATAGCGACCCTATGTACAACAGAATGAAACACTGCCCGGTGCTGTGCCATCCTCACAATCGTTGTTATGCTTGAGCCCATTGTTGCAGCCACTGTATCAATCCATCTCGCTGAGGGTCTTTCTCTTTTTCGCTGACCCTGTACTTTACCAAGCATGATGTCCTTCTCCAGGGACTGATTCCTCTTGATAACATGTCCAAAGTATGTGAGACGTAGTCTTGCCATCCTTGCTTCTAAGGAGCATTCTGGTTGTACTTCTTCCAAAATAGATTTGTTCATTCTTTTGGCAGTCCATGGTATATTCAATTTTTTTTTTGCCAGCACCACAATTCAAAAGCGTCAATCCTTCTTTGGTCTTCTTTACTTATTACCCAGCTTTCGCATGCATATGAGGCGATTGAAAACACCATGGCTTGGGTCAGGCGCACCTTAGTCCTCAAGTGATGTCTTTGCTTTTTAACATCTTTTGCTTTTTTTGTCTCATACAGACGGTTTTTAAGTAGGGCACCGATCTTATGGGTAATATCCCTTATTTTGTGTGCCACTCTGTTATTTTGCTAAAAGGTGATCTTGGGATGGGCTCGGTTCTATGCTTAAAGAGTGTTTCAGGGCGATAGTCTCAGGGAGTCCTCTGTTCTCTTCCTTTTCTAGATACTGGGATAGTTTGAGCAGAACTGGTGTCAACTCTTCTCTGAATGTTTGGTAGAATTCTCCAGGGAAGCCATCTTGGCCTGGGCTTTATTTTATCAGTTTTTTTTTTTTAAATGACATCTTCAATTTCTTCTTTTGTTATGGGTCTATTTAGATTTTCGACCTTTATTTGTGTTAGTTTAGGTAGGGAGTGTGTTCGCGTTTTTATTTTTCATCGAGCCCTGCAAAGTAAGTAGCGGGTCCTTATTACACGCGATATTGTGTACGTTGGACTCTGTGGGCAATGGAAAAGATTTTCCAGGGTAACGTCCAAAAGCGCCAGGTAAGATGCGACAAGAGGCCAGGGCCAGGTATTCGTGGTAGGTAACGTGACATGAGGGCTCTGAGACGTGACCTCTCTGCCGGCCTTGAAGTAGCCGGGCCACCCACAGTGGCGAGCGGGCCGAGCAGATTGGCAGGACTAGACCTCCGGGGCCCAGGGCGGGAGGGGGGAGACCCGGGCGGGAGCGGGGAACCCAGGCGAGAGCACGAAATGCAGGCGGAAGCGGCGGAGCCCGGGCGGGAGCGGGGAACCTGGGCAGAAACGGGGAGGCCGGGAGAGAGCGCGGAACCCGGGCGAGAGCACGAAATCCAGGCGGGAGCGGCAGAGCCCGGGCGGGAGCGAGGAAACCAGGGCGGGAGCGCGGAACCCGGCCCATGCGGGCCGGGCCGGCGGGAGACAGGAGTCCGGGCGGAAGCGCGGGAATCCTGCTGAGAGCGGCGGGCGCGGCGGGGCGGGGCGCACCGCCGGCTCCTCCCCCGCGCGGCCTTGCGGCGGCCGCCTCTCCAACATCACGCAGATCCCGGGAAGAAGAGAAAACGTTGGGCCGGCGGCTCCCAGGGTGCAGCGCCGCCCTCATGGAGCCCAACGTGCGCTTTTGGACCGCCGAACGCCAAGTACGGCCCGGGGCGCGGCCGCGGGGCTGGGGATGGGGCCCGGGGGAGGAGGCGTGGGCCGCGCCGCCTGCAGGCGGGCGGCTCGGAGCACGAGCTGCCACCGGAGTCAGCGACCTTGCGCAAGCCACGTGGTCGCTCTGCGCTGGGGGTGGGGTGTGGGGGGTGTGGGGGGGGGTTCCTCCTCCCGGAAATGGCTTTGGAGCGCGCCCCAGCACTTGCACCACCTTTTAAGGCCCGGGGAGGACCAAGGGGAAACCCAATCTTGCTAGGCTTCTACCCCATGCTGTTACTGTGGTCATCGCCTCGGTCCCAGGCTGGGGCAGGCGGGGTCGCCACAAGGTCATCCTCCAGATCGCCCTGGCGGAGGAGGCCACCCTTCTTAGGTGTCCTGAGCAGCAGTTGGAGACCAACCTCCTATCCCTGTCTCAGCCGCAGAGCAAGAGACCCTGAGGCTTAGGCAGCCGCCCATCAACCCAAGTAAGGGGTCTCACATCCCTGCAGTGTCGAAGGCGGCACTGTGCAATAGAAATGGGATGTAAGCCACAGGTGATTTAAAACGCATGAGCTACATTTAAAAAGGTAGAAAGAAACATGAAATGAATTTTAATAATACAGTAAAACCTGTGAAGGCCGAAACCGATGTAAAGCAGAAACCTGTCAGAGAAAGAAAACTCAAATATTTTCCACTAATAGGATAGGAAAGTTGTAAGACTGCACCCTGCCAAAAGCGGACAACTTGGCGAGACCCAGAAAAACAAGGCAGTCCCGTCGAGTTCCAGCCCTCACAGGTTTCACAGAATCTGGTGTTTAACCCAGTAGGTCAAAAATATTATCATTTCAACATGTAGTCAATAAAAAAAAATTGAGATATGTGGTATCTCTTTTTGTGTGAAGTCTTCAAAATCTGGTGTGCATTGTACACTTTGGGCACTGTCCGTTGGGCCCAGCCACGTTGCAAGTGCCTCATGGACACGGAGAGCGGCTTCCTACTGGACAGCACAGCCCTAGGGTGTTCTCTTTCAGGCCCTTACTTAAAGGTGGGGAAATTGACACTGGGCAGGGAGTTAATGTTTTCCCTGGAGAAGGGGCTTGTTGCAGCAGCCCAGCTTCCTTTCTCCGCCTGTGACCTGGCTACATTATTGAGCCCTTGCTGAGGTAAACCGAAAACCAAACCGGTTGCCGGCAAGTCAATTCTGACTCATAGCAGAGTAGAATTGCCCTGTAGGGTTTCCAAGGAGCGGCTGGTGGATTCGAACTGCCAACCTTTTGGTTATCAGCGAAGCTCTTAACCGCTTTTCCAGGTCTTTATTCGTGGAGTTGAGTCTTAAAACAACTGCTCAGAAGGCAAGGAAACAGATTCTGAGGCCTTTCTAGGTACTTGCTTCAAGGTCATGTGTGGAATGTTCAGCGTGATGCGTGGGATGGAACGAAGGCCCGAATGACCCCAAAGTCTGGGCTTTTAAAGCCCAGGAGCAATTTGATATTGAAATATTTAAGAATACAGGCTACAGAGTCGCTTCCTTACCTGTAAAATGGGGTTGTCGTGAGGTGACGCAGGGAACAGGCAGAGCGTAGTCCAGGGCCCTAGTAGGATCTCTGAAAACATGTTAATTGTTATTATTATGCTATATCTTTGTTTTTCTACTGCTGTTAACCTTCTTCCTGGTGTTTTTTTTTTTAAACCTCAAGTCTTTTGTTCAAAGATTTCTTCTGTGGACAGAATTATTAGACCCTACAAATTTGGTCATTTCGATTGTAAGTATTGTTTTCGTAGATAAGAGAGTTCACTTTTATTCTGAAACTTGAAGATGGTGTGGGCTCCCCCCTTTTTTTAATTCTTGTAAGAGTCATGTCCCTTTTGAAAGCAGTTGGAATGACAGAATGTGTATATTATTATGGTTTTATTCCTTTTGAATGAGCTTGTTAGATTGGAAGGATGATAAATAACGCTGTACATTGGTACAACAGATAATGCCAAGCCCTCAGCCAGGTGCTGGTGATTCAGAGAGAATTAAAACAAACCCTCTGTGTAATGGCAGACAGACTGGCAATGCTGGTCGCAAATCATGAGCTCGGCTCTGGGGTATGGCAGGGAATTGGAGGAACCACCATTTGTCTGTCAGTTTGTTGTACTGTAGTGGCTTGTGTGTTGCTGTGATGCTGGAAGCTATGCCACCAGTATTTCAAATACCAAGAGGTCACCCGTAGTGGACAGATTTCAGCAGAGCTTCCAGACTAAGACAGACTAGGAAGAAAGCCCTGGCGATCTACTTTTAAAGATTAGCCAATGAAAACCCTATGATCACAACAGAATATTGTCCAATATAGTGCTGGAAGATGAGCCCCGCAGGCTGGAAGGCACTCAGCAGTGCACTCAGCATACCAACAATCATGAAGATGGCACAGGACTGGGAACGTTTTGTTCTGTTGTACATGGGGTCGCCATGAGTCGGAACTGAGTCGGGTACCTAGCCACAACAGAAGAGGAAATGCTTCACTCTGGGTGGGGTGGTTGAGGGAGGGCTGAGATGGGAATCGCAGGGAGGAAGCATCTGGGAGGAGAGGGGACCGTAAGTAAAGCTAAGGGTCAGAGAGCAGGTCACAAAGTTATCAGAGCTTTTAGAGCTGGGAAGTGAGGCAGGCCTTTAAGGGCCTGCGTGTTGTTCAGACGAGAGAAGATTGCATTTATCCTACAGGGCAAGTGACTGAGATGGGCCGTTGGGGTTTCAGAGGGTCTCTTTGGTAGCCTGTATTGAGTAAAACCAGAGGAGACCGTACTGTGGGCGGAGCAGGCAGTTCAGTGGGTTCAAGTGGTGTCCAGGTGAAAGATTGGGAGGGTTTGAACCAGGTGTGGCTGGGGGATGAAAAGGAGATGCCCTGTCATCAGCAATAACCCTTCAGGGCAAGTCACAGAGGACACTCCCATACTTGTGCTCAAAACACCAAAACCAAACCTATTGCTGGCGAGCCCCTCCTGACTCACAGTGACCCGCTGGGTAGGGTAAAACTGCCCCATAGGGTTTCCAACGAGTGGCTGGTAGATTCGCACTGCGGACCTTTGGGTTAGCAGCTGAGCTCTTAACCACTGCACCACTAGGGCTCCGCTTGTGCTCAAGATGTTCCTCATAACCCTGTTTGCAATCAGGGCCTCGAACCAGTTCTTTCTGGTTTGAGCCGCTGCTGAGAATGTGCCTTTCTAGTAAGTTCTTGGGAAATTATATGTAAGAATCACCTGGGAATCTTGTTAAACTATAGATTCTGATTCAGGGTGGAAATGCAAATTCTCAGCACGGAACTTGTTAGAAATGCAAATTCTCAGCAAGGGTCCCAACTAGAATGAACCCGCTTCAGTTTGAAGCCATGTTTATAATAGAGAAAAAATGAGAAACAACCTGAATGCTATCTGTATACCAAAACAAAAACCCAAACCTGTTGCTGTTGAGTGGATTCCGACTCACAGCAACCCTGTAGGACAGAGTAGAACTGCCCCGTAGGGTTTCCAAGGCTGTAAATCTTTATGGAAGCAGACTGCCACATCTTTCTCCCGCAGAGCATCTGGTGGTTTCGAACCACGGAGCTCTCAGCAGCCTGAGCACTTTACCACTGTGCCACCAGGGCTCCTTTGCCATCAGTATGGAAATAGATTAATAAAATGTGGTATATTCATACTATGGAATTCTGATTAGCAGTTAAAAGTGATGAAGTAGATAGATCCCATATGTTAAGTGGAAACATGGTGTCTGTGATGTTTAGTGGGAAAAGCAAGATGCATAAATAATAGCACTTACGGAAATTATAATTAAAAAAACACAATATATTGTTTATGGATACATGTGTTCATATATTGTTAGCTGCTATTGAATTGGTCCCCTGAGTCATGGTGATCCCATGCAGAACAGAATGAAATACTGCCTGGTCTACCATGATCAATTGCGGATCGAACTGTTGTGATCCGTAGATCTATAGATTTTCACTGGCTGATTCTTGGGAGTAGATTGCCAGGCCTTTCTTCCTAGTCTGTCTTAGTCTGGAAACTCCACTGAACCTGTTTGGCATGATAGCAATACACAAGCCTTCAGTGATGGACAGGTGGTAGCTGCACATAAGGTGCACTGGCTGGGTGTTGAACCCAGGTCTCCAGCATGGAAGGCAAGAATTCTACCACTGAACCATCAAATAAGTAAATGGACTAGAAGGATATACCCAGAACTCATACTAGTGGTTACCTCTAGAACGGTAGAATGTGGAAGGAAATGGGTTAAAAAAAAAAAAAAAGGGAAGCAGTATGATGGAATGTTTGCAGTTATCAATTCTGTGATGGGATTATGAGTGTGAATAAGTCTTATTTGTATTTTTCTATATTTAAATTTATTTTCTCAAATTAAGAATACAATAAGAGAGGACACAAGACTAGAATAACTAGATGTGGGTGAACGAGAGGGAAGGGACTGCCAGGTTTCTGACTGGAGACACTAGGCAGATGGTGTTGTAGACGGAGACAGTTACTATCAGAGAAGAACGGGGGGCAGCAGCAGTGGGTAGGCTGGTGGAGCTGTCTGGGAAGTGAGGAGGTCTGAATCTGAGTTATACCTGGGATTTATCCTATTGGAAACTCCCAGGAAGTGGAGAACCTAATTTTATCTGCTGCGCTGAAATCAGATGTATGGTTTAGATACAGTGTGTGCTGGTAAATGAGCGTGTGATTCCTAAATCAGTGGATAAATCCGAACATTGATGAGATCATTGCTTGATTTCTTTGTATCTGATTGTAGGAAAAAATAGAAAAATCGAGGCAACTCTTATCAACAGAGGCAGCCAGAGGGAACGTGGAGGACAAGAAGGTGGGTCTGTGTGCCCAGGTGTACCTGGTTCAGGGCTGGGAGGGTTGCCTTCAGGTGATTCTGCCTGAATGGTGTGAAATCATGAAGGATGTTGGCCATTAATCATATAATTGTAATCTTATAATTGCCCCCTCCACCCCCACCCCCACCCCGGGCTAATAATTTGAAAAGCCAACAGGAGCAGCTTTCAAAAATGGGTTAGGTTTTTAAATGTAATTAGAAATCCTTCTCATCAATCAACTAGAAGGAGCCTTGGTAGTGTAATGGTTAAGCGTTCAGCTACTAACCCACCCAGTGGCTCCATGTGAGAAAAGACCTGGCAGTCTCCTCCCATAAAGGTTACACCCTAGAAAACTCTATGGGGCAGTTGTACTCTCTCTCGTGAGCTCCCTGTGAGTTGGAACCGACTTGACAGCACCTAACGCCAACAGCAAACCAGCTGGAGCAGCATTCCACATGTGCAGCCGGTATTAGCAAAGGTTCTCTGTAGCTGATTCCTGGGAGCCCCAGAGCAAACCCCAGAATTCTGGCAGGCCTCCTAAGTCAGAATCTGATTTCTGACAGAAACAGTGTTCCGGGGCCAGGTTGCATTCCTATGCAAGGGGTCGAACCAAGTGTTTGTTGTCTCCCTTGTACAGACCTAGCGGTGTCTGGGGCTTTCTGGAGCCCACAAACATCAGTCCTACAAGGCAGCCTGTGGAAAGCTGTCCTATTTAACTTGGTTTTTCTAAGAGCTTGTTGGGGCCTCTGGCTGACAGCCGCGCTCTTGGTGGGGGCAGGCTGGATTCAGAGACCGCGGAGTTGCAGAGCCACGGGGCTGACTCACTGGAGGCCCTTGGTGTCTTTTGCAGGGACAAGTCAGGTGTTGACCTTGAGTCCCCTCCAAGGTCGGAGAGAATGAGTTAGGCTTTTTAGTGGTCTGGCTGTTCTCTCCGTGGAGCCTCTCTTTGCTTATTGTTCATTTGTTTGTTCATCATTTGATTCGTTTGTTTCGATTTACTCTGTCCACGGGGTAGAAAAGCAGTTCTGGCCTTTACTTTGTGAAAGGCGGAGCACGGGGGACACCGGAAGTGAGACTGGCAAGGAGATTTTTTGCTGCCACGCCACCTGAAAAGCTATTGCTTGTTTTTTCTCTTTTTAGATACAAGAGGCTTGGAAGAAAAGTCTTGTAAGTTTCAGCCCTGTAGTAATTTCTCGCTCTCTAAAATAACAGAGGTCCCTGGGTGTTACAATTGGTTGACGCTGGGCTGCTAACCAAAAGGTTAGTGGTTCGAGTCCACCCAGTGACACTGTAGAAGAAAGGCCTGATGATCTACTTCTGTAAGTTTCAGCCATTAAAAACCCTGTGGAGCACAGTTCTACTCTGATACACATGGGGTCTCCATGAGTTGGAGTCAACTCTACAGCATTGGGTTAAGATAACGAAGCCAAATGTCAAACTGACCTTTGTGTTACTCTTTTGAAGTCAACGGTGAATCCTGACAGTAGCAAACTGATCCCCGCTCCTTTTCGACCTGCAGGTGAGTTGGTTTTTTCCTAGAAGGATTTCTGGTGATGAGTCTGGAAACCACAGCTTAGAAAGAATGTTAGAAGGATTTGGGGTTGACAATGGAGAAGAGCAGGCCCGGGGCCAGATCTGTGGCCAGTCCTGCAGTAAGATCCTCAGCTTTGGGAGTTAGGGGACAGGCCTGAGCTGAATTCTGTCCTGGTCCATCATGCCCCAGTGAGCATAGCAGAATATTTCACTGATGGTTCCAGAACATATGACTTACAAGTGCTAGTCTTAGGGATACCATTTACATTCTTTCATTTTCACTATATCTAACTAAGATAAAGGGACTAAAACCCACGATTGTATAGGGCCCTTCCACTGTAAAACTCTTGATATATTTTAAGCAAAACACTGGAAATGGCATAAATATCAAAAAAATTCAGACTCTGGTTAAGTAATTCATAAAAAGAATGAAGTAAGTCTTATGTGCTAATAAGAAGAAGGATGGATCTCTGGGAATTAGTATTAAGAGGCAAAAAGCAAAGTGTAAAACGGTATATAGTGATCCCATTTGTATAAATAAGGGATGTGGGGGGATGGGTGGGGGGCCGGGGAGGAAGAGGAGATGTATGCATCCTGATAAACAAAAACCCGTTTGCCATTGAGTGGATTCCAACTCATGGCAACCCCATGTGTGTCAGAGTAGAACTGTGCTCTGTAGGGTTTTCAATAGCTGATTTTTTGAAAGTAGATTGTCAGGCCTTTCTTCTGAGGTGCCTCAGTGGACTCGAACCTCCAACCTTTCGGTTAGCAGCCAAGCATGTTAACCATCGCACTACCCAGGGACTTCATGTATCCTGATTTAAAAAAAAAAAAAAAACCAAACCCACTGCCATTGAGTCAATTCTGACTCATAGCAACCCTGTAAGACAGGGTAGAACTGCCCCATAGAGTTTCCAGGGAGTAACTGGTGGATTTGAACTGCTGACCTTTTTGGTTAGCAGCCTGAGCTCTTAACCACTATGCCACTAGGGCTCTTGATAGTCATGTTAAGAAATTCATCTGGAAGGATGAACAAGAAGCTGTTAACGGTGCTTACCTTTGGTAGAAGGGACTGGGAAGGCTGGAGGGAGACTCTTAGGTCTTTCTGCACTGTGCTGTTTTGATTTTGTGCCATATGCACATATTTATTATTTCTATTTGGAAAAAAAAATAAGTAAAATTTCCTTTGAGGCCTGTGACTTCAGAAGGCTGACGAAGAGGTTTTCAGGCACTCTGCCCTCTTCTTACCCTCTCTCTGCCTCAGCAGCTGCACTGACGACTCTTCTCTTTTTTGCCAGCTTTCCTGCCTTTCACAGGGCCCGTGGTGAGTAAGCTACTGCTCACCATTAAGGAACGGGCAGTTTAGGAAGATGTCCACCAGCTCCTAACCACAGCTGGTGTCCCTCCTGCTCTGGACCCCATCCCGTTGACCCCACACCTGTGATCCTTGTCGTTTGTTCATATCCACCCTTCCCCTAACACACGCACACCAATCCTGTCAGGTGTCCAGGCCTCTTGAAGGCCCACGGTGTCACAGGTGATCCTTGTTTTGAACACCTACTATGTGCAAAGCACTATGGAGGAAATCAGTAAGATGTGCCCACAAGCCCCAGGTGATGGTCTGTTCCCTTCTCACCCCAAGTCTGCCCCATATAGGCTCTCCCCTGGGAACTGAGTCGTCCTCAGTAAGGCCGTCCACCTTGGCTCTCGTGAGGTGCTTTTGTCTACCTCACTCCCTTCACACCTGCCCTGTGTCTGCATCCCTTCGCAAGCACGTACTTCTGAGCTGCCCTGCCAGATTGCAGGTCTTGGGGATGGACCGTTGTGAGGCTCCTGCTGTCCACAGAGCAGCTAGTTCAGCGCCCTGTAGGTGCTCCTTAGCATCAGCCTGCCCGTTGACCAATGGCCCTGTGTCCCCGCCCCTCCTGTCTGTGTAGCAGCTCCTTGGGGGCTCAGCTGTGCATCTGCCTGGGAGGTTCTGGGGTCCTGCAGGTTCCACCTCCCTGCAAACACTTATATCTCTGTTTTACCTTTTTCTTAAAAGGTATTTTTTTCGATGATGCCATCGAAAGGGATAAAGTCCATGATTTTACCTCAGGTAGCCATTATTTCTATTTCACGATTACTGAACCCTGTTACGCTTGAAACCAAAATGTGTTCTGTTTGTCTGTATCTCTTGGCAGCTTTCTTTCTATACCTACACTACAGCCTTCAACATCATCAATGGAAACTCAAGTTACGTGAGTATTGGAGGCCCGGAGGGCATGTAATTTTGGTATTGTTTTCTTTTAGACTTATGTTTTTTTGTTTTTTTTTTTTTTTGTCTTTTTAGAATTATCCTTACTGGGTAAAACTGTGGAATTAGCTAAACACGTGCCTTTATTTTTCCGTAGCATCATCACCCACGAGAGAGTCTGTTACTAGGGGCAGGAGTGATTGCTTCGTCAACCTTTTTCGGAGTAGGTATTTTAAAACTATGTTGAACCTCTTTTATTCGGAATCAAGAAAAGTTTATTCTGATTACAGATTTAATTTATTTCCTAACGTAAACAATTTAGAGAGTATGAATGAGACATAAAGAAGAGAAAATAAAAGCTTTCTGTAATCCTATCAGGAGTCCCTGGGTGTTGCAGACAGTTAACATGCTTGGCTGCTAACCAAAAGTTTGAAGGTTCAAGTCCACCCAGAGGCACCTTGGAAGAAAGGCCTGGTGATCTACTTCCGAAAAAAGATCAGCCATTGAAAACCCTATGGAGCACAGTTCTACTCAGACATACATGGGGTTGCCATGAGTTGGAATCAACTGGCTTTATAATCTTATCACTCTGAAATAATAATCATGTTACATTCTAAGTGGTTACACATATGCTTAAATTAAATAAAAAATAAATGAATTGATTTAAAAAATAAACTTATGCTGCACAAACGTTATGCAAATCGTATATTGCTTTGGATATCAGGACACGGTAGTGGTTCCAGGTGTTGACTTTGGCATCAGACAGACCTGGTTAGAATCCTGGCTCTGACCCTAAGGGACTCTGAGCCTTGGGGTACCCCTCTGGCAAGCAGGGAGAATGACATACAATACCTACCTCACTATTACAGGAACTAAAACCAAAAAATTACACAGGAAGCCCTGGCACTCTGCCTGACCTGTATCCGGAACCAGGTCAGGGTTAGCTCTCTGCTGTTGAGTCTGTCCAACTGATTTTTTGGTCTCATGAAATCCTGATGTTCTCTCTTCTCTTCTAGATAATTCCTCACTTGGCACAAATGAAGTATTCCTTGGATAACTATCTCGTCCGCTTTTTGCTCAGAAGAGTCCTTCCTGTCCTCTTCATCGGTGAGCAGGAAGGGATGGGGCATGCGGTCTGGGGTTTGTCCTTGTGGCCTTCGGGCCTTTCTCCATCGCAGGAGCCACCCTGCTCCCTGTCTGTGATGTGGCCAGTGACAGCCACCATTGGCAGCTTGCCGGTGCCCCCAGGCCTGAGTCTGAGAGGTGACACTTTGCCTGCAGATACCCCTTGTCTTAGCTCCCTAGGGCTGCTGTGACAGAAATACCACAAGTGGGTGGCTTTAATGCACAGACATTTATTTACCCAGTTTAGGAGACCAGAAGTCGAATTCAGGGCACCGGCTCTAAAGGAAGGCTCTCTCTGTCTGTTGTGGGGGAAGGTCTTGTCTCAGCTTCTCTAGTATTCTTGTTATTCCTTGAAGACTCCACTTGGCATTTATTCTGCCCCCAATTTGTACTTGCTGCTGTGCCTAATCTGCTCTTTTTGTATCTCAGAAGTGATTAGGTTTAAGACACAGGCTACACTGATAGGCCTCATTAACGTAACAAAGAAAACCCTGTTCTGAAGTGGGATTACATCCACAGGTATGGGGTTAGGATTTACAGCACATATTTTTGGGGGACACAGTTCAACCCATAACCCCCCTAAAAAAAATAAACCCATTGCCATCAAGTCGATTCCGACTCATAATGACCTATAGGACAAAGAGAACTGCCCCACTGGGTTTCGTAGGCTGTAAATCTTTTTTTACAGAAGCAGACTGCCACATCTTTCTCCTGTGGAGCAGCTGGTGGATTTGAACCACCAACCTTTTGGTTGGCAGCCAAATGTTTTAATCACTACACCATCAGGGCTTCTTACATCCTTCAATTGTCAAAGGATGAATACAAGCCTGGTAACCCAAATTCCTTTTTAAAGACTCTGTACAAGCTCTCTGATGCATTATTTCACGTATTCCTGATGATGACTTATGGGTAGGTAATATTTTTCCCATTTACAGATGAGGAGACTGAGGCACAGGGAGGTTAAGTAACTTTTTCGGGGTCACACAGCAAGCAAGGAGCGGCACAGGAGTTCCAGCCCAGCACTGTGACTCCAGAGAGAGGAACAGAGATATTAACTGAATGGTTAAGTTTGCCAGTGTACAAATCCACTAGTTCATGCTCCAAATTTGGGTTTGGGATTCATAGCAGTGTGGAGAGTTGGCAAAATGATGGCAGTGATGAAGTTAGTGAAATTGTGTTACAGAAACCTGGTCAAACCAGATTAAGCAAAGAAGGGGGTGTATCTCAAGGATCTTGAGGTTCTCCTTGGAATCCTATCAGAGAGTAGGGCTGGGCGTCAGGGTGCAAGAACCTGGTGCTGAGATTCAGGTGGGATCCAAAACTGAGTGGCTAGGAATTCTGCTCCCAATTTCAGCCCCCTCCCCGGGCGAGAACTTGGCTGGCCCAGCCGATGGCAGGGGAGTACCTGAGGGCTGGGGGAGGCATCTGTCAGGAGGAGGCTTGAAGTGGGCAGACCCAAGATGTTCCTTCAGCGAGCCGAAACTCATCCCTCCTGTGTGTCCCTTCTAATCCCCAGCCCAAGTCAGTGGGATGAATGTTCTTGCATCCCGAAGTTTGGAGCCCACGCGAGGCATCAAGGTCATGGACAAAGAAGGCAAAGTCATAGGCCATTCCAGAAGAGCCGGGCAAAAGGTGAGGGGACACGACGGAGATGTAGCTGCTTGCCCTTTGGGCGAACAATCGAATTTTCTGTTTAAGAGCTGGTAACAAATTCTTGTCTCCTTTCAACCTTTCCTCATCCTGTCCTTCCTCATCACCCAAAAGAGATTTTGCGTTTTGCACCCTGATATGTGAAAGATGGGCACCCAGCAACTGCTCGGCTCTTAGCCCAGTAGGAGGTTTTGTTCTCCAAGCCTGGTGTCCACCCTCCCAGGGTGAGCAGACTGGGGACCCCTTTGGAGGCCACTCCCCTCCCAGCCTGCTCTGCACTCCTGGAGGTCAGTGGACACCCCTCCCTCTTCCACTCCACAGAGCAAGTTTTCTTAATATCGGCATTTTTTAAAAAATCGTGGTAACTGTATATATAACAAAACATTTACCATTTCAGCAGCTCAACTGCTAACCTAAGGGTTGGGAGTTCGAACCCAACCAGCAGCTCCACAGAAGAAAGGCCTGGCAACCTGCTTCTGTAAAGATTACAGCCAAGGAAACCCTGTGGAGCAATTCTACTCCATAACACATGGGGTCACCACGAGTGGGAATGGATTCAACAGCAGCGAGTTTGGCTTTTCTGGTTATGTGTACGATTCAGTGACATTAATTCCTTCATCATGTTGTGCAGCCATCACCATTGTCCATTTCCAAATTTTTCCATCACCCCAAATCTTCATCTTTAAGGATCAATTTGCTGTCCAGCATGGCCTTAAGAAATCCAGTGCTCTGACCTAAAATTTCTTAAAAGGCCTCAGGGTTTAATAATTTTTGCTATTCAATGGTTTATTCTTTTGCTCAGTTCAACACTGGTTCTGTGTGCATTTGGCTCGCCGTATGTCTTAGTCATCTAGTGCTGCTATAACAGAAACACCACAAGCGGATGGTTTTAACAAAGAGAAGTTTATTTCCTCACAGTTAAAGTAGGCTAAAAGTCCAAATTCAGGGTGTCAGCTCCAGGGGAAGGATTTTTCTCTCTGTTGGCCTTCTTATCTTTGGTGTTCCCCCGGACTAGGAGCTTCTCTGTACAGGGACCCCGGTCCAAAGGACGTGCTCTGCTCCTGGCACTGCTTTCTTGGTGGTATGAGGTCCCACTGTCTTACTGCTCACTTCTGTCTTATATCTCAAGAGATTGCCTCAGAACGCAATCCAGTCTTGTAAATCAGGTCCTGCCTTACTAACACAACTGCCATCCATCCTCCCTCATTAACATCATAGAGGCAGGTTTACAACATACAGGAAAATCACACAGTACCAGGAAGCATGGCCCAGCCAAACTGATACACACATTTTTGGGGGGACATAATGCAAACCATGACACCGTAGCTCTTAACCACTGTATTTTTAGCTGTGAGGTCTTGTTAGGGCTCTGTCAAATGACTATAGCTAAAGAATTACAATATGAGGCAGTTGTCTGGAAACAGCATGAAGAGCAGCGCGGGAGAGCCCCAAATATGAAATGAAGGAAATAGCTGGCTTAGCACAGTGTCCACATCCAAGGGGACTCCCTTAGCCAGCTGGACAGCCTTCTTCTGCCCAGCATGGCGGTGGAAGAGGACGTCAGAAAAGATGGCTGTTCATTCGGTCAGTAAATACATAATTATTCAGCTCATGAAACATGTTACTCTAAATCCTGTCAATCATTTAGAAATCTGAATTACAAACCATCAGATACATATGACAGTATTTTTTCCAGACCATCTAGTGCATATCTGAAAATATTGGCCACTTTCTTAATGAATTAACAATAGAGATTCAGTGATTGTGAGTTACAAGGAGAGAAATTTGCTGCCAGAAAGGAAAGTAATCTCTCTAGTTTTTTAAATGAAGGTTCATGTGCCTAAAGAAGACACCTAAAGAGACTTTTTTTAAAAAGCTATGATACAGTTTATTTCAACATATTAAACCAAAATAAAACTACTTCTTTGGAAACAATCTGAATTCTATATCTACAGAGTTGGCTTGATGAACCAAAATGTATTTTTGCAAAAAATATTTAGGTATACCACACCTAACAAAACAATAACATAGTAGATATTAAATAATTTTGCTAGATGACTAGACATTTGGGAAAATAAACAATTGTAAAACAGAGTTGAATGCACAAATTAAGAATATTGCGAGCTTAATCTGAAAAAGACTTTGTATTTTATTGTAAAAAAGTTTATAACAACACTTCTATTTCTCTGTTTTTATTTTGGTGAAGATACACACAGCAGAACATGCACCCATTCATCAGTTTCTGCATGTCCAATAACACTGGTTACATTCTTCGTGTTGTGTTGTCATTCCCGCTGTCTCTACCCATATTGTTCATCACCACTGACTTGGACTCGCTATCCCCTAAACTTCTCATCTGTGCTTTACGGTCACTATTGCTAAGTTGATCTCATATAGATAATTCTTTAAAAGAGCGTAGTGCTCAGGTCAAACATTCTTTACTAATATAGCTAAACAATTGTTTAATTTAAAGATGACTTCAGGGGATAATTTTGGTTCATGGTTTAAAGTTTTTCTCAGAGTGATAGATTCAGGGGTTCCTCCAGTCTCAACAGGTCCAGTAAGTCTGGATTCTGTAAAGAATTTGAAATTCCATTCCACATTTTTACCCTCTTTTGATTGGGATTCATCTACTGATTCCATGATCAGAACGTTCAGTAATGGTAGCTGGGCACCATCCAGTCCTGGTCTCATGGCTAAGTTGTTCATGGAGGCAGTTAGACGTGCAGTACGACACACACACACACGCATGAGTTTTTTTTAACAGCTCTGTTTTTAAAGAGACATTTTTAACAGCTTTATTGAGGTGTAATTTACATACTATAAAATTCATCCATTTGAGAGTATAATTGGATGAATTTTAGTAAATTTATTCAGTTGTGCAGCCATTACCACAGTCTAATTTCAGAACATTTCATCCTCTCCAAAAGCTCCCTGATGCCTGTTTGCAGTCAGTCCCCATTCGCATCCTCAGGCAGCCACGTCTGCTGTCTGTCTCCATACTTCTGGAATCATACAATGGTCTTGTGTCTGGCTTCTCTCACTTTTGAGGTACACCTATGTTGTAGCATGTATCAGTAGTTCGCTGCTTTTTATTGCTGAGAAGTATTCCATTTGGAGTCCCTGAGTAGTGCAAACGGTTAATGGGCTTGGCTGCTAACTGAGAGGTTGGAGGTTCAACTATACCCAGAAGCACCTTGGAAGAAAAGCCTGGTGATCTACTTCCCCAAAATCAGCCATTGAAAACCCTGAGGAGCACAGTTCTACTCTGATACACATGGAGTCGCCACGAATCGAGATTGACTCCACCACAGCAACTGGTTTTTCAGTATTCTGTTGGGTTGGATGTACCAGTTTGGTTTTTCATTTCCCAGTTGATGGAGCTGGGCTGTGTCAAGTTGTTGGCTGTTACCAATATTGCTGTTATGAACATCCACGCACAAGTCTTTGTGGGGACCTACATGCATATTTCTCTTCAACTCCCTTGTACCTTCGGGGTATTAGGGTTGCTGTGAACTGCTCGTCCAGCTGAAGATTAGAGTGAGATGGTTTGGAGGATTAGGGTCATGGCTTCATGGGACATCACAGTTCATTGACCTAATAACATATTTAGTGCTTCTCTACTACCTCCTAGTTCATTGCGTAGTGCCTGGGGTCTTAAAAGCTTGCAAGCGGCCATACAAGGCACAACAGTTGGTCTTTATTTACCTGGAGCAACACAGGAAGAAGGATGATATGAAATGTGTGGCTGATTGCATCCATGAACAACTACCTCCTTTGTCATGAGACCAGAAGAACTAGATGGCGCCTGGTTACCTTTACTGAACATTTTGATAGAAGATTTTATAGAAGAATCCTGATCAAAAGGAGGAAAATGTAGAACAGAATTTCCAAGTCTCATGGACTGCAGAATTCCTGGAGCCATGAAGGTCGAATGAACCCCTGAAACTATTGCCCTGAGATAATCTTTAAACCTGAAACCAAAAATATCCCCTGAAGTCTTCTTAAAACGAAACAACAGTTTAGCTTAACTAGTAAAAAAAAAAAAAAAGTCTGCCTTGAGCACTGTGCTCTTTTAAGAACTATCTGTATGGGATCACATTGACAACAGCAACTTAAAAGATTAAATAGAAACCTTAGGGGGCGGTGAATTTATGTTCATGAGGGAGGAACAACTCAGAAAAGGAGGATGAGAATGGTTGCACAACTAGAAGAATGTAATTAGTGTCACTAAGAGGTACATGTAGAAACTGTTGAATTGGTGTACGCTTTGCTGTGTATATTCTCAACAACAGTAGAAAAAAGAGTAGAGTGAGCAGGTGTTCATGAACCAGTTCTTTCTGAGCTCCTTTGCCTGCCTGCCCGGCGCTGTGCTTGGCTTGTAGATTCAGACACTGAGCGGTCAGGTCCCTTCTCTCCAGAGCCCTCGGCTGCCCAGCGCGGTGGTAGTTCAGGCCCGGCCAGCTATCTAGGGTCCGTCTCACCAGCAGGAACTTCATATTTTGCATGAGAGCCAATTGAGGGGAAAAGAAACGGTTTCATGGTCTGCTTTCTTAAGAAAAACTATCTTTCAAGAATAAAGTGTCTGCAGCTGTGCATAGGCATAAGCATTCTCTCATCACGTCCGTCACCGAAAGGTTTATTTTCTTTGGCTAAAATTTCAGAAAGTGCGTAACTGGCAATATCTGACTGTAACAGGGCACCTTTGATCAGGTTTCAGGGGCCTCATTCATATTGTTTTCCCTGACTGGCCTGGTAAGCCGCTTGATTGTGATGAGTTGTGATGAGTTCGTTTCGTTCGTTTCGTTGGACCGATTTCCTGTGGCACATGGGCCAAATGGGAGAGGCTGGCCTCGCCCCACTCACCTTGAGACACAACATACCCAGCAGCCGCTCTTCCCTTCCTGAAGCCGAGTGGTTTTATTTTATATTCCTGGAACTTTATTCCAAAAACTTCCCTCTTTGCCTCCCTCTGTCCTAGTGGAGGAAAGACATTCCTTACAGAGGAATCAAGCTGAGCATCAGCACACAGAGGTGTCAGCCGAGGGTGGGGACCAGGTGGGAGGAGATGAGCCCAGGAAGGGAGGTTGCAGCCATGTCATGGAAAGGTGGAGCGGAAGGAACGGAGGGCAGGGAAGGGCGGTGGTGGAGTGTCTGCCTGTCTCTGTCCGGCAGAGGAGCGATGTCTGTGAAGTTGAATCTGTGTTACCCGGGGGTTGGGTTCTAAAGTCAACACAAGAGTAAAAGCCGTCTATAGTCAGTATTTCCGTTGAACATCCGTTAAATGTCGTAGAGTAGAGAATACATGGCTTTACGATATAACCCAACAGTAAAGTGTATGTTTCAATGTTTAACAAACAGAGTAATGTACACTATAAGAAAGGAGTCCCTCAGATCCAAACTCCCCGAGGGACTGAGTTGCTGGACGGAGGGCTCTGGGGACCATGGTCT